ATCCATGAGACCAACATGGCATTCACAATCCACCATTCTTCATAGTTTTCATCTCCTTCTTCTGGACAAGGGATGGATCCGTCGATGAATCCAATTTTCCGTTTTGCACGGAATGCAATTCTCATTGCACGAGCCCATTCTTCATAATTATCACCGTTTAGTTTGACTTGGGTGATAATTAATCCAGGTGTGTCTGCGTTCTTGAGTTCGTAAGAACTTCCCTTCGTAGGGATTTTTTCTTCCTCATCGAAAAGCTTGCCGACGAGATTTTCTTCTACTTCTGCCATGTCGACGGTCGAGGAGGATAGTCCGGCGGTCGATGTCGGTGATCCGGCGGAAGACAGGCTTGAACCGGCGGAGGACGGTGATGGACCGTCGTATGTCTAGATTAGGGTTTTTCCCTAGGAATCTTGCTCTGATACCATGAAGAAAATAATAAGAGGGAAAATATTCTGTATATTGAATTGTTCTGCTAAGTACAAGGAGTTTCTCCTTTATTTATAGGAGAGGATAAAATAAAGACCAAAACACAAAAGGAATTCTATTCCTACAAGGAAACAAATCACTAAATATGAACAAGGAAACAAATCAAGAGCAATCCCACTTAGAATGGGATTTGCTCTCCTTCTTGCCGTGTGGTCCAAGGAGCACCGCCCAACACATTGAGATAAAGTGTATTAGTGTAAGGAAGAAGTATTAGCAGAAAGTTCATACCAAAATGATCAAAAACAGAATATTCATTGGAGTCGACAAGGAATGCATCATTCTTTTCATCTTCGTCATTGCGAAGAGGTGGATCACCAACTGCAGCAACAACACATCTAAAAGCTTGTATGTGAGGCACATAAGCCATCACAAAGTGTTCCTGTTAACACAATAATATTCATTATTTTTGGCAAAAAAAAAAAGGAATATGAAGTAAAGAACTTAAAGATCATAAAGAACATATAACACCTTTGAAGAATGAGCAACCGATGCCAAAGCTACCACAACCTCTCTCTGAACCATTGGCATTCCTTTCTAGAACACATGCAAGATAAGAGATGAAAACCATATACTCCAAACCTATCCCAAAATAATCTCTTTTGTGTGTGATTTGAGAATATCAGGTGTACAGCTCTCTATGAAACATCTCATCACAAAAATAGCCCGAGCCTGCAATAATGATTCTTTCTAGCAAATGAATTGTCAAACATAATCCAAAACCATGTGAAAATACATCGATTCTAATAGGTAAGAGTCCAAACCTGTACTGGGGTGTTTTGAAAAATAGACATGGCTTTAATTAAGTTTGGAAGCACTAAGTGGTGATACTCGGGTAAGTTAAGCTTCCTGTGCCTGGATAGTTGCATAAGTGCATTGAGAGCTACCCATCGAACTCGTGGGTGAGCATCCTCAAGCGACTCTAAGATGAGTGATAATATGCCCTCCAAATTCTTTAGTAATATATAAATCAATGTGTGCTGCACCGGGTAAATTTCACCAATGGTACTTGAACTTTAGCTGGAATTTCGAAGTGGTACCTAAACTTCAAATCCTTTCAAAAAAATCCATGAACTTACACAATCCTTTCACTAAAAGTCCATTTGCCTGTTTCTAGGTTAACTTCCGGTCATTTGTGTCACTTACATCAAATCACATTAAATCACATTATTGATAGATATGATTGCTTTGTGTGATCCTTTTTTGCCCAAGTGCTTCATAACAAAAAAAATCATTAAGTCAGATTTGTATTGTGTGTGTTTGGGATAGGTTTTGACTATATGGTTTTCATCTCTTATCTTGCATGTGTTCTAGAAGGGATGACAATGATTCATAGCGAGGTTGTGGTAGCTTTCACATCGGTTGCTCATTCTTCAAAGGTGTAATATGTTCTTTATGGTCTTTAAGTTCTTTACTTCATAATACTTTCTTTTTGCCAAAAATAATGAATATTATTGTGTTAAGAGGAGCACTTTGTGATGGCTTTCGTGCCTCACATACAAGCTGTTAGATGTGTTGTTGCTGCAGTTGGTGATCCACCTCTTCGCAATGACGAAGATGAAAAGAATGATGTATTCCTTGTCGACTCCGATGAATATTCCGTTTTTGTACATTTTGGTATGAACTTTGTGCTAATACTTCTTCCTTACACCAATACACTTTATCTCAATGTTTCATCTCTTATTGTGTGTGAATTTCTATACGCCGAAGCTCTTTATTTTTTGTGTAAACTCCAATTTGTAATTAAATTGCCCCATTTATAATCAAATTGAGGGTGGAGGGAGTATAAAACGTTGCGCCAATGCAAGATACAGAGTGTGTTTCTATCACGCACAAGAATTATAAGTACTCTCCCTGTCCCCCAGTTTTTGTCTACTTTTGACTTTTGGAATTGTTCATCTAAGCACTTTGACTCATCAAATTCTCTCAATGTGTAAGCCTAAATATAGTCATGTGTGATCTTGTTTGATTTATTTTAACATATACTCCCTCCGTCCCATGAAACATGGGACATTTGCTTTTTAGGAGGGATTTAAAGGAGTGTATTTTGGTATTGAATTTCCAAAAATGTCCTTTGATGTGATAGGTAAAAGTATGATTTGATGGATAGATTATTAGTAAAAAGGTATGATGTGATAGTTAGGGTATGAAAAAGTAAGGGGTAAAAATGACTTTTTAATAGAAATGAGAAGTGTTTTGTGGGACAGATAAAAAAAGAAACGGGAAATGTTTCATGGGACGGAGGGCGTAGATTATTAATATATAATTTCTATAATTTTTTAATATACAAATTACAAGATAAAATAGATTAAAGAAGTGCATTGGATGGTGTGTAAAAATTAAAGTGGACAAATACTCTGGGACGGAGGGAGTATGATTCATTTTGCCTTTGCGAATTTTCCAAAGTACTTTTTTCTTAAAATTATCTTCTTTATTTAACCTAACTCTAGAAATTGTCGCTGATCATAATCGATCTGGATCTTCAACCATGGCATCTTCATAGCCGAGTTCCAACGTCCGTGAGAAGAAAGCTTTGACAAGGAGACACTGAGCCTGTTTGGGAATAAAGTTAGAGATTAGCGTTAGCGTTTTGAATAAAATTTTAACGGTGCAGATTAATTTGAAAACACTAACGCTAAACGTTACCCGTAGATAACCTTTTAAAAATGCTAACACTAATGTCTAATGCTAATCCTAAACACGCCCATCATAACTTAGATCAACGTTAGGGTAAAAATGGAATTATAGCATTATCGAAATCTAACTATATACAATGGTAGGATGCTTTTTTCTACGGTGTTCCCGCCCATTTTCTATGCTTTTTTCGTGAGTACTCACTCAATGTACTGGAGTACGGGAGAAGCTTTGCGCACGGCATACACACTCATCTTCCGGGTTCATAGGGTTTCTTTTGAACGGCTTAGCGAAATTTTGGATTTCGCAGGAGAGAAGCTTTGGAGTACTGGAGTACTGGCGATTTTGGTCTGGGATTTCGCACGCGATTTTGCCTAGGTTTCTTTCAACGTTGTCATTCATCCTCTCAGATGTGGTGCTTCAGCAGAGATGTGCGCCGCCGCTCTCATCTTCTGCCGAAGTCCGCAGCGTGGTTCTTCTAGATCATGGGTTCTATCCGTCCGCTGGCCGATTCTCTTCCACGACCGCACAACGGCAGCGAGCATCTCCATCTCTGATAAAAAATAGCAGGGGAGGGCTGCGTGAAATAGCCTCGACCTAGGGTTGCCTACAGCTGCAGGTCTTCTACTTCCTCATTTTCTTTTTCTTCTTCTTCTTATCTTCGATTTTACATATTCACTCAAGTAGATGTCTGATTTTGTAGTTGAAGATAAGGAATTGGTTTGGATGAGCAATGCTCACTGTGTGTTCGACGAAATGACTCAAAAAGACATAGTCACATCTACAACGATTCGATCTTGCTTAGACAAAGGGGGTTGGGGGCCAGGTATGTACACAGCTCCAATTACAAATTTAGTTTGATTTTCCATCTAAAAGAACCGCATAGCAGGCAGGCGTCCTCTACCATCTAATCCACACTTCAACTTCAAAGCAATGTTTTCATAGCCACTGGTAGCCTGTCCTTCTTTCAGCAAGAAGGATCCAGAGCATAGGGCAGATTGTTGATTCTCTGTTACAGTTTGGAACAAAGGTATATAAATTCATTTCCCAGTTTGCAAGGTGTATTACAATCAACACCAAGTTCTGCTAAGATACTTTTGTGCTACTCGAATCTTGGCATAACATTTCTGTATTTGTTCCTGGGTTTAGTTTATGCATTATTCAAGTGGAATTAGCAAAGGGTCCAGATTTGTATCGTTCCCAACTCCTAAATAAGCCTCTAGAGCTGTATGTTACTATTATTTTTATATGGTAGTAATTGAGTCTATTTGTTTAGCTTATCTTCACCGTAGAGAGCAGGATCTGATTCATGCATTTTGATTATTATAGCTTTCTGATTTGAATGGGAAAATGGTGGTGTCCAAACGATTCTATGTTGCTCTTGCTTAACGAAAAGAGGAGAGGCAAGCAAGATTGCAGGTAAGATTATTTTTTTTAAAATTCATTTGTATACAATTTGTAATACCTGTTCTTCACCATATATTTTTAGAAAATGACTGTTTGGACATCTGTAGTTTTCATTATCAAAGCTGATGCATATGCTTGCTGGAATAGATTTCTCAAATACAACCCGTCACTATGGCACCTTCTCTTGGACATCGCGTGCCTGTGTACCCTACTGGAATGGCATTGGTTAGTATGTTTTTTACAGGCTGTTTTTTATTTAACTTGCATTATATTGTCTTTATATTTGTGCAATTTTGATTTCATAGGCATGCTCAGAACTTTGTTGAGGTACAAACACCCACTCTACTATGAATGTCTATTATGGTTGGAGGTTGTAGTGAGGATTAAGATTAATGCCCTCAACCATCTAGGTGTGAAATCTAAAAAAACCTTATATGATTAGACTTCTTATTAGATGCAACACAGAAAGTGCATATTTTTAGCCATCTTATAGTTGATATATGTTACAATTGAGAGGGGATGTTTTACTCATACCTTCTGTAATTGCCCTTATATTTTACAAGTGTCATCATTTAGTTATTTTGGGTATGGCTGGTACGGTGGGACTTGATGATGATAGTTCAGTTTTAGTATTGTAGGTCTCATTAAATGTTAGCTAACTTATTTAAAGTTTTTTTGAAATTAGAAAATGTATTATGCATCTTTGTTAAACATGCTTCCTTCTAACATTACATGATAATTAATTACCTTTCTTTCTTCTAATATTCATTTTAGTTCCATTTTGAGCAACTACTGGTGAGGCCACCACAGCTTATGAAATGTTCCACCTTTTGAATTTTATCATTGACGTCATTGGTATAGAAAAACTCTCTCCATCCATCAAGAGTTTAAACATGGTACAATGGTCCACTTTTGTTCACGAGCATATAAAAATAGATTAAGTACATAAAGCAAAGAAGAAAATTCTAGGTATTTTTTAAATTTTATTTTACTTTTTTTTTTATTTGGTTTTTTTTGGTATTTTGATTTTTAAAATCACAAAATCGAAATCTCTACAATTTTGTCTTAAAATTTATAAGGATTTTTTTTCATATTTTTGCTTAGCATGGAGATAAATGGCCATAGAGCTTTCGTCTTCAATTTTTACAATTTTGTCTTCAATTTTTCTATTTTGATTCCCTTATACTTATGGTATGATTTTCTAGCAATTGGTTTCATTCTCTTTTTCAAATTTTGAGTTTTGTTTCTTTGGCGGTGTATCAGGCTAGGAAACTTCGTTGCTCCATTGGTCTTTTGAGTTTATTGTCTTTCTTACATCATTTATGCTTTATTTCTTTTCAGGTCCTACTTTTAGCTCTGATCTTGGGCTCATCTTCCACTAAGGAATTATTTCAAGCTACACGGATGGTGGTAAACATTTAAACACATCACTTACTTGGAAGCTAGCTAACACCTGTATACCTGTTCTTTTATACTCCGTATTCTTATGTTTTCTGCTTCGTAGTGTGGGTTGTATTACTAGCTTTAAACAAGCTAGGTTATAAAACAATTTTCCTTTTTCTTTTGAGAGGATTTTGGTTCTCCTATTTTAATTAGAATGATATTATTTTGTGTTAGATATATTTTCTAAAGCACGTGACTCTGGAGTTGCGAGATGCACAGGTTGAGGATCAACAAGGGTGGCCATAGAACTTTCGACTGACTACATATGGATTGCAAGCTTCTGATGACAATAAAGGTAAACCAAAATAGAAGCAACCTATAATATTTACATTTCTCTCCTATAATGTATACTATATTCATTTATTTCATCTATATATTAAAGAATGAGTGGATAATGAGGGTCTGAAGAGTAGGGAGAAGTAGAGGTGGGTTGTGGTGAATCTAGGCAGTAGCTTCTTTCCATGATGCTTCTTCTCTGTTAAAGTTGGAATGGATAAAAACAATTTAGAATGCTTCTTCTTTCCAGCATGTGCCTAAGAGCATTTAAAGATGCTTTTAATAGTTGACTGTGACTTGGCATTGGTTATAATGTAAGATAAAAAAGAGGTTGGGTTTCCAATTTCACCCTCCCTACTCTTCTTCTTCCCAAGCCCCCTCCTCCCTCCCCTACAGATTTTTCTTAGGAATCTGATCAGAAAGCCAGATTTCTTCCCATTCCATCATCTCAATCTCCTAAAAGCATGAAAAGGATCCAGCTAAAGCATGGGTGTACGGTATATAGACAAGACGGGTAAGAGAATCTATCTTCCAATATCACATTTACTAATTGAAAATTTAATTTCTTTGAGGTGAGGTTTTATGTGTTTTCAAGGTCTAAGATCATCTATATATGTTTGTTGATGTTTTGAACTGTAGTTTGGAAATGCATAATAAAAATTTTAATGCTCCGTGTGTTGGATTCTTTTCAGGCGAGAGATGGGTTTGATACATTCTCAAAGTTGACAGTCGTGAAGTCAGATGGCTGATAACAAAGAGATCAGTATCCTGAGAATAGAGTAATGGGATAGGATCAAAATGATAATTGATAACTCTGTCCATAGACAATGATTTAATTCCTGCAATAAAAAAACTACATACGAAGAGATAACACCATTTTCTTCTTTTTATTTCAAGTTATTTATATTTAAATAATGCTTATAAGATTTTTGGTACTTGGAGATTAGTGAGGTAGGAACCGTCAATTTTATGAACGGGGTACTGAATGACCTCTGAGTCATCCCATGACATTAATTCACAATGTCATGGTAACTGGCCTCTATTTTTATTGGTGTTAACTCAAATATTTATTAAGTTTTTATCTATCATATAAATTCATTTTTTGATTTCTCACCCATTCACTTTATTTGAATCCAATTTATTTATATCATACGGAGTAAAATTTCTTCATTTTTTCTTTAAAATAATAGTTAAATATTAATACCGTGCTCTGCACGAAAAGTGTTAAAGATTTTAATTTGCAATAAAGACCTTCCTTCATGTAACCAAATTACGAATGTAGTTTATAAAGAAGTTTTTAAAACTTACAACACTTCCAAAACTCCCCTTTTTTTTTTCTATTTATATAATCTTTTAAGTTTTTGTAATATTTTTCCTTATTCAAAACATTAAGTAATTATATGTTAATTAATAGCCCGTGCATCGCACGGGTACGAGTCTAGTGAATTATTTGTATGCAAAAATTGGTTCGACACGTGGGGGTTCATCCGCTTTCCGCGCTACGTCAGTTATACGGGCCCATGTCCTTCAAATGCTGAAATATCTCTTTCCGCCATCGTTGTATTCCCTCTTTCTCTCCGTACACCATCATTCGTCCCCATAACTATTCCGATTATCCATCTCCGTTCGTCGCCGTCGGAGGAGGCGTTTTCCGATCGAGGAGGGATTCGACCATGAGAGAGATACTACACATTCAGGGAGGGCAATGCGGGAACCAGATCGGCTCCAAATTCTGGGAAGTCATCTGCGACGAGCACGGCATTGACACCACCGGCCGTTACAAGGGCGGCGACGCCGATTCTCCCGGCGACCTCCAACTCGAGCGCATCGATGTCTACTTCAACGAGGCTCCCGGCGGCCGCTATGTTCCGCGCGCGGTCCTCATGGATCTGGAGCCTGGAACCATGGATAGCATTCGAGCCGGACCCAACGGCCAGATCTTCCGACCTGATAACTTCGTTTTCGGGCAGAACGGCGCCGGAAATAACTGGGCCAAGGGGCATTACACGGAAGGAGCTGAGCTTATCGATTCCGTTCTAGATGTCGTTCGTAAGGAGGTCGAGAGCTGCGATTGTCTGCAAGGTAAATTTTCGATTTTTTAATTCAATTTGTGATTCATAAGCAAATTTATTCGTTCTCTCAATACAATAATGGGTGAAGATGCATATATTTATACGCACATTTCTTCATTCTCAATATAATGAGTAGTTTTGCATGGTAGAGTAGTTTTCAATTTTAATCTGCAATCCGGTCTGATTGAAATTTATATTGTTTTTCTAATCCTTCTAAACAAGCTTTTCTGGTTCAGTTATGGATTCATCTAGTTTTCCAAATTCGAATTAATGATCTTGATAATCCATTTCCTGTTAGATACTGTTCCGTTTCAAAATAAATTTCATGGTTTGATTTGAGTTTGAGAAAAACGTTCAAAAATGACAAATGTATTACTCCCTTCGTCTGTAAATGTTCTTCTCATTTGACTTTTCACATTCTCCTATGTTGCATTTTGACAATTTATATCTATAACTATACATAGATACATTTTATAAAAATTTAATATTTCAAAATTACGTTTCAATAGAAATATATTGATATTAAATTCATATCATAATTCAATATATTTTTTTCCAAATATCGGAGTCAAAGTTTACAAAATTTAACCCAGAAAAGTCAAATGGAAATGTCATTTCCGGACGGAGAGAGTATTAGAATTTGTTTAGACGAAAGGACGACAATGATTTGCATGGATATAAGTAATTCTCTGTAATTTCAGCCCCAACTGCAATTCCATGATATCCACAGATTCAAACACTTTGCTTAAGTTCAGTGTTATCAATGGCGCAAATGGCGCGCGCCATATATGCGCCTTTGGCGAGTTGGATAGGAAACGCCACAAAGTGGCCTGTGGGGGTCGACTGACGCGTGGCAACGCCAATTGTGCGCCATCGCCATGCCATCGCCATTTATGCGCCATTTTTTTGTTTTTGCCGACCCAAATCCAATAAATTAGGCCCAATACAAAATATTAAACCTTTAATTAGTCATCTGCCCAGTCGCTCAATCTTCCCAATCGACACGGGAAGTCGATTGCCACTGGGACAGAGGTCTGCGACTCGCCATAGCAGATCTACGAAAGAGAGGACCTGCTATAGTGGAATTTGCGACTTGGGAGGGTGCGACTCTAAAAAGCATCGGTAATTTTTACTTTTTTAAAGGTGATCTGTCATATACTTCCTTTTTCTTTTTTTTCTCATATTATACTTCTTTGATTATACTGCCAATTTTTTAAAGGTGATTCACCTTATTATACTTTTGATCAATTATCCTGCCATAAATATTTTCTGGCATAATTTTTCTGCCATTATTTTTTTTTTTTGCCTTCATTTTTTTTGAGGTGATTTACCCTATTATACTTCTCCTTAATAATTTACACATTTTCTGCCATAATTTTTTTACTACATGACTATTTAGATCAAGTGCTCTATTATTTTTTATAGAATTAATGCCTTATACATGTGCGAATATTAGTTAATTAATATTGTGTGACTATTGTCCTGTGGCGACGCCATATTTGCGCCATCGCCATCGCCATAGGATATTGGCCCATCGCCATGAATGTCGCCATGCGCCATGACAACTATGCTTAAGTTCAAGTATTCCAAATCTTAACCAAACAGACTCTCTGGTTGTGTACTGTTCCATTGCAACTGCATAATTGTGCAGGTTTCCAGGTTTGCCACTCACTTGGGGGTGGGACTGGTTCTGGGATGGGAACTCTGTTGATTTCCAAGATAAGGGAGGAGTACCCTGACAGGATGATGCTCACATTCTCTGTCTTCCCATCACCCAAAGTCTCTGACACTGTTGTGGAGCCATACAATGCCACACTGTCTGTCCATCAACTGGTGGAGAATGGGGATGAGTGCATGGTCCTTGACAATGAAGCCCTCTATGATATCTGTTTCAGAACCTTGAAACTCAGCACTCCAAGCTGTGAGTACACTGAATCTTTCTGCTTCACTCAATTCTCCCTCAACTTAAGGCTGTGTTTGGTTGGGTGTCAAATTGGCACTAGTTTAACCTTGGGTGTGATTTTTTTTCCCACCACACAGTTGGTGACCTGAACCATCTGATATCTGGAACCATGAGTGGGGTGACCTGCTGCCTGAGGTTTCCAGGGCAGCTGAACTCCGACCTGCGAAAACTGGCGGTGAACCTCATCCCTTTCCCGCGTCTCCACTTCTTCATGGTGGGGTTCGCGCCCCTCACCTCCCGCGGGTCCCAGCAGTACACCTCCCTCACCGTCCCGGAACTCACCCAGCAGATGTGGGACTCCAAGAACATGATGTGCGCCGCCGACCCCCGGCACGGCCGCTACCTGGCGGCCTCCGCCATGTTCCGCGGCCGGATGAGCACCAAGGAGGTGGACGAGCAGATGATCAACGTCCAGAACAGGAACTCATCCTACTTCGTGGAGTGGATCCCCAACAACGTCAAGTCGAGCGTGTGCGACATCCCCCCCACCGGGCTGAGGATGTCGTCCACCTTCGTGGGGAACTCCACCTCCATCCAGGAGATGTTCCGGCGAGTGAGCGAGCAGTTCACGGCCATGTTCCGGCGCAAGGCGTTCTTGCACTGGTACACCGGGGAAGGGATGGACGAGATGGAGTTCACCGAGGCGGAGAGCAACATGAATGACCTGGTGGCGGAGTACCAGCAGTACCAAGACGCCACTGCCGATGAGGATGACGACGACAATGATGGGTACGACCAGGGCGGCGGCGGCGGCGCTGCTGGTGGTGAAGAACACGACGACTGAGAATCATGAAACGAATCCAAACCTATATTCTTTTTCGAGAACATCAATCAACATATGTTACACGTAATACGATCTAATTAAATATCTTTCTGCATTAAAAACTAAACAAAACAATGTAATCTGTTTGCTTATTAGCACTTCATTCTCTTGATTGACTACGTGCTTATAATGAAACTGGCACAATGTAACTCAGCCACAATAAAACTTGCTTACAATTTGACATACCACTTTAGTTTGTTCCAATATAAATAAATACTGAAGAGGATGTCACACACAATAAACAGCAGCAGAATCAAAACAAAAACAACCGCTGAGATGGACATCGAGACAGATAGATATCCCTAACCTTCAACACACGATAATCAAATAAAAAATAATACCCTCATTGTATTAGCATATCATACTGATGCAATCGTATCATCAAAGTGGATCATCAGGCTGAAGTTTAGCACAAACAAATGAAATGGACAAAAACAGCAACAAGAGAAACACTAATTCAGTCATAGCCAACAAAACAAAACAAATCAAAAAGCTGGAATCAAAGTGAAAGATTAAGCTGTGAAATTAATAGAAACACGAATATAAAAAAAACTGAATTGCTTTTAAAACGCAAATGCATCCGATCCCCAACCGTACCTTATGGCGGTAGATTGCTGGCGACAAAAAAAAAACCGTACTTTTGATTCTTGGCTGTGTTAGACTGAAAGTATGGCTGCACTTTTGGGTTTTGGTCTTGGTGTGTGGGGATATATGAAGAAACCGAAACCCAACTACTTTTAAGACTAAAAGCCCAGCCCAGGCCCAATCTTTGAGCTAGCTCCGTTTATTAATTACAAAGTATTTTCTCTATATTTTTTTCCTTCATATTTTCCTCTTTATTTAATTACGGAGTAAAACAATACTACTTATACTTAAATTCAAAACACTGACATTTTGAAACACTTGTAATATGTCGTCATATTTTTACATTATTTTTTGAAGAAATCATCTAAAACATACTCCTTCCGTCTCATTTTAAATCGTATGTTTTGACTTTGAGACATATTTAAAGAAGGAAAAAAGTAGAGTTGGCTTTCCAAAGTCGTCATTATTTTTTAAGAGAGGTGACAATGAATGAGAAGATAAGGTGAAGAAGAGTGACTTAGTTTAGACATTTTACTATTAAAAGTTTACGATAACAAGAAAATGACAATTTATTTTGGGACAAAGAAAAAAAAAGGAATACAAGCAATTTAAAATAGAACATAAGGGGTAGCATTTAACCCAAAATTAGAGTTTTATATTCTTATCTTTAAAGCAGAAGTTTGAAATTATATATTGGTATTTTATAATACCTTAGAGCTACATATAAGAAAAATAAACAATTTCTTACCACTTAGATGATCATTTATTTTTTTAAAAAATAAAATTTAAAAACATACAGAGTATATTTTATGTATAAAAATTCATAAAAATGATATGCACCAAAGTACACCATAGAAATACTTTATAAAAATGATATTCATTTTCTTTTATTTCCTTTATTTGTAAAATATAATAAGTCTTTTGATATTTTGGGTTTCTAGATTTAAAACATTACTTCTTGCGAAGCCTGGAAATCGGAAGTGTTGCACCGATTTCCCCGGAACCGAGATGCCCCACCAAGACCACAAGGCTTAACGTGGATGCTGAGCGTAGGGACTACCGAAAGTGTTGCGCCGATTTCCAGGCGCAATATAATCTCCCAAGCAAGCCATTTTTTAGCCTTCATATCCCATTTGCACTTGATGATTGGTGAGATGACTTTATTTTGTGTTTTCGCCTGAAAAAATGCTTCCAATATTGACAGTGCAGCCAATACCGGAACTCCTATTCGGCTGCCCTCTTTAATTTTGCAAAGGAGTTCATGAGCCTTTTGAGCTGCAAGGTAAAACAATTAAATTACATCTATAAAAATTTTTCATGCAAAACTGGATATCAATCATTAAAAAACTCACCCAAGTACCGAAGAACATCATCGCATTTGATAGATATGTGCACCTAAATGCACATACCTATCAACAGACCAGGGAAAGTATCTTGCATGATTAACAATTTGATGCTTAATCAAATTGAACCACCAATTTTTCTTTCTCTTCTTTTGGCTCTTGATCCACGTATCTTCTTCCTCCTCCCTAACTAGTGGTTTCCAAACTCTTCCAACCTCTTCTTTCAGATTATTTATCTAACAAATTATTTAAAAAAATTGTTACTAAAATATATAAATTGAAATGACACCCCAAAACATACTGGGAGTCACACATTTCTTATAAATGGTAACAGGTTTATGATAATTTTGTTTTGTTGCGTCACATTTTTTTAAACAGACTAATTTTGAAATTAACAAAATCTAAACAATGTAACAGGAAGAAATGTATTTATATAATTTTCATCAAAAATATAATTTTGTTTTGTTGCGTAACACTTTTTTATACACACTAATTTCGAAGCTAACAAAATCTATACAATGTCACAGGAAGAAATGTATTTATGCAATTTTCATAAAAAATATAATAATTACCGTACCTGGTATCTTTCGAGAGGGGTCAGACATTGGGTTGTATAATCTCTGTAAGTAGTCCTGGGTTCGTTACGCGGCTCAAAAAGGCCGTGAACCTTTGCAACACGGAGATCTGATGCGTCAAGAAGCCATTTGCTTGGATCCACCCCATTACATTCAGCAGTATGTATGGTCAGGGTAAACTCGACCAGAAAACTGAACCCTGCCATAACCCCTACGATCGGCGTCCAGTCGCTGGCGAACCTTAAAGGAGGAGGTGGGTGGGTTATCTCTCTCGACCTGCTGCTATCTGCCGCTCTCTCGCGAGTCCGATCTGCGGATTATCCCGGCGGCTTTCTGACCTAAAATATGGAAGGCCCAAAATGAAGTGCCCGTCTTCTGGTCCGACACATAATATGCTCATACTAAAACGCTATTTCATTTAACAATAGATCTTTTAACACATATTTTATATTAAATAATTAAACTATAAACATCATTAAAATAATAAAAATTTACTTCAAACTATTTTTATTATTAGACTTCAAATAATTAAAAATTTCATTACTAATATAAATTGATACATTAAAAGCAATGTAAAAGAATATAATCCGTATTGCCTATTGGAAAAAATTGTCAAAATTTTTGGTGATCTTTAGTTTCATACCCATTTTATAGGCCTTAATGTCTGAAATATTTGCATATATTAAGTCTTGTAAAAAATATATATCTAACTACGTGATCATAAAAAATATTGGGAAGGGGTGGGGGACTATGTAGACCTTAGGACTAAAACATAATGACTTTCTCAATATAAGACCATATGTTTTTATTTCCCAATGTAGGACAATTATTCATTATATCTTAGTCATTATTCAACTAAATGTTCAACATCACATAGACATTATTCTTCTAACTAGTCATTATTAAGTCCTATTTAGTGAATAAAAAAGTTTAAGTTCTTCATTGGGAAATGAGTTATGTTTTAATCATATTCATGGCAAATTTCACATATAATGGAACAATTAATTGAAATAAAGACTCTAACAATAGTAAAAAAAAGACCTCTAACAAAAAAACCATTTTCAGAGCATTCAAAGAAAAATTGAAATAAAAGGTTGCATTAAAAAATCATGGGAGAAAGACCAAAATAGGACTAAAACATTGAAAATATACCAAAATAGGACTTCCATGTTTTTATTCCCCAAAATAGGACTTACATTACCAAACATGGTCATATACATTACCAAGAAAGTATAGTAATTTGGACATGTACACTGCCACATTACCACAATGCAAAGTCACATTACTACAGTGCAAAGTCCTATTCCGGGAAAAAAACATGAAAGTCCTATTTTAGTACTTTTCTCTATGTTTTAGTCCTATTTAGGATGATTTCTAAAAAATCATATGTGACATTGTACCCAATAATTTCTTCTCCTCACGAGCATATTTTCCTCTACTCGCTCTAATTATTCACCTTTGCCATTTACACAATTCTCCTCTCATTTACCCTTGGGAAATGAATAGGAAATGAATACGGAGTAAGTAAAATGTAATACCTGCTTATGAAACTTAGTTTATCCGTAGTACTTCAAAGGCAGCTGGCCGTTGATGAGGCAGTTCAAGTAATCAAAGGACAGAGAACTCAAGCACTCCTTCCACACTACTACTACAACCACTAAGAGGTCAACGAGCGAAAGGGGTGTGCGGGAGGCCTTCACTTGGTCATTTTGATCCTCAGGGGTGAAAATTTCCATGTAAATAAGGTCCAGCCTGATGTCATTCCCTGGACTGGGTGAAGAGAAAGTAATGAGATCCATACCAGAGGAAAAACGGGTCAGCCATGCCGCTTTGCCTCACCACAATAAGAACGTCCATATAGCTCAATGGGTGGGTCAAATCGAGAGAACTGCAAATGAAGTCACCACGAGAACTGGAGTCGGAAGGCAGAGAAGAAACAATTGAAGGCAGCCTCTTCATCCGCTCTGCATGAAAAGTCGGCTCGGTCTTTCATTCTGGCAACCATGACCCTTATTGTCAAAATCATGTAGGAGGTGAAGTCCCCCTTATTGTCACTATGCTTGACTTTCTTGTTAGGAGGTTCCAGGCTTCCCGTCGTTTTGGTTAGAGCTCTCTTCCTGTCATTGTTGATGACATCAATCAAACGTGAAGTCGCAGCACCAGCAACACCCAGTTGTCTCTCTTCTTCCATCTCTTGTGCTCTTTTCATTATACTCTCAAGGCAGAAACTGGGCAAGGGGCTGGGAAAGGAGTCCTCATCCGGCAATGCCATCCCTAATCTTCAACACTCTATAATCAAATCAAAATACCCTATTGTATTAGCAGGATCAAATATAAAAGAGCAAGGCACACAATATTGATGCAATCATATGTATGTGTGTGTGTGTGTCTATATATATATATATATATATATATATACACACACACTAGGAACTATACGCGCGTTGCGCGGAGTAAAGTGCCCGATAAAGATTGTTTCCAATTTTTTTTATGTTTTTATATGTTATATTGTGGTTGAACTCATACATAGTGTAGTCTATTCATTCCATCAATCAATAACGAACTTGATAACAATAAGCTACAAAAGATTAAATAAATTAAACTGAGTTTACAATAAAGAAAATACCATTGATGATATGATATATGGAGTATTTCCAATTCATAAAAGTTGCCACTAGTAGCATTGAAGTGCTACATTA